CCCCTGTACTGTCTGTTGTGCCTATTCAATCAGCCATCCCTCTTGTTTCTTCTGGGGTGGCTGTTGATGACTTGTTCTCTGTGCCTCTTCCTGACTCTACTTTCTTGGAAGTGGCTGGTAGCTTCAACAAGGCTATCAAGTAAGTCCTTTCTTGTTTCTTTTAGTTATTTCTTCTGATGATTTGCTTTGTTTTTTCTTTTTTCTGATGGATCTGAGTTCTTTTGCTAGGTCCTCTGAGGATGCTTCATCTTCCTAGGCTCTTGATGCTGGGAGGCTTGAGGCTGAGAAGTCTTTGGAACAATCTTCTGCTGGTAAGTTTCTTGTCTTGTCTTTCTAGCTTTTGTATAATTATTGTATTATGCGTCCTTGTAGATTTATATCTCTGTTTTTGTAGCTTCCCCTTCACGTGGTGCCCCTCTCGAGCCCCGTGTTGAGGAGCAATCTGTTGAAGACCTAGCGACCTCCCAAGTAGCGCACCAGGTTGATGATAGTGCTGCTGGTGGGCTTGCTGGTGCCCAATTGCCATCCGGGTTGTCTGTGCTAGACGCCCTCGAAGCCGCTGCTCGTGCTGATGCAGTGGTGGGGGAGGGTTCTGTTAACAACCCTCCCCCTGCTGTTGCAGATGCTGAAGCTGTTCGTCCTTCGTCATCTAAGCCGAGCACTTTTCTTTTGACTCGTGCTGGGGATGAGTTGGCCCAGCTTGGCCGAGTTGAGCGAGTTTCTGAGTTGCTTTCCTCCTGGGAAGCTGTCGATGGGTGCAGTCTTATCTCAGCCCACCCGTATAGTAGTTAGCTCCTCTTTATTAATACATGTTCCACATGTCTCTCTCATAAAGTTTCTTGGTTCTTGTGCCCAAACCAGTTGTAAGCTTACAGGTCACTTGCCCTCTCTCTCTCCTTCCTTCTCTCCTTCATGTTAACATTCAGTCGGCTTACAGCCTGCTATTATACTTACTCTAATGAAGGAGCGAGGTTTACACACACAAAATTACTCAGCACTAAATAAAGTGAACTATATATTGCAGATTTTGATATCATTTCTCGTATCGCTACCAGTATAGTACTAGTATTACCTGTGACCACTGCCACTAGCGACCACTGATTTACGGTCAGATCGTTGATTATTTTGATTACTGTATAGTACACATGTCGTCTTGGTCGCTTTGTCGGTGTGGCATTTCAATGTCGACATATATGGAATCTTTACAGGCTATTGGGGCAATAGATACGTGATCACTTATAAATAATCAACGTTGTCCACGTGGGTTTCATTTCTATTCATCATTTGGTCAGCTAGTATGCGACTTAATAAAGTTGAATTTGAACTTCCACTTGATTTATTTTTTTTCTTTCATAATCATGTCCTACGTGTGGGCCAACAATGCATGCTAAGGTGATAAGGTCGGAATCTTCTTGTAGGGTATACATATACTACTGAGATATAGGGTCTTCTCCATATGAGTATTTGATCTTGTTGTTGCATATATATACTTAGTTTTTTTCTCGAAAGATCAAAAACCAACGTCCGCTGCTTCAGGGACTCGACATCTTCTGTAGGCAATTTACTGCACGTTATCAAAGCGCGCTGGCAGAGCTTTGGGTTCAAGCCGGGCAAAACACTTAGGGAGTCTAGCGTCCGGCGTGTGTGTGGGGGGGGGGGGGGGGAGTTAGTCCTCTTCCCACCGAGTTCATGGGAGGTAGTCCAAGATGTAGCCTCACTGAGTCCTGGCCTCGGCCAGGTTTTTTTTTTTATTTGAATGGCTTCTTCTTTCTTAATACAATGATATGCACACTCGTGCATATTCGAGAAAAGAAAGATCACAAACCTACTGGATCTACAAGCACAAGCTACATTTGATACATGTCCACTCCCTAAATGATTGTTTATCTGTGGTTTGATCAGTAGGAGACGACAATAAGCGGCAAAAAGAATCTGTCAAACAAAGCCCGGCTTACGCCACTACGGGAATCGGTGGGCACTTTCGGCAAAGCCCAATTTGCACTTTCGGCAAAGGCTTTGCCGAGTCTCTTACTCAACAAATAAACCGTCGGTAAAGGCGTCTTTGCCGAGTGTCTCTTTTGTCGGGCACTTTCGGCAAAGCCTTTGCCAAGTGCCGACACTTGGCAAAGTTTAAACCGAAAAAACCCAAAAAATGAATTTTACCCCAAAAATGGATTTTTTTTATCGATGGAGGCCCCCACTCGCCAACACCCACCCATCTCCGACATTTTTTCGCGTGTATTTCATGGCTACTGGACCGTGATTCGAACCCGAGACCTCCGCCAGTGCACATACCTCCTCTACCACTACACCACACTCTCACTTGTGTCTGCATTCCGTTTTAGTTCCCAATATATTATACTAAACCGAGTGTAAATTGCATGTTTAAGGCTCTAAACGAATTCAACTAAAAAAGTTGTAAACTACAAAGTTTCATAACTTTTCGAGATCTACACTTTTAGTTTAGGAAGTTTTTCCATCCGAGATCGTTTACAAAATTTGAATTTTAAAATTTTGAAATTCAAACGCAGTTTTGCATGACAAGATGTTTTCAAATCAAAAAGTTGTCAACTACAATGTTTCATAACTTTTCGAGATCTACAGAGTTTATTTTGGTTGTTTTTTCATCCGAGGTCTTTTGAAAAGTTCGAATTTTAAAATTTTGAAATTCAAATGCAGTTTTGAATGATAAGATGTTTTCAAATCAAAAAGTTGTCAATTACAAAGTTTCATAACTTTTCGAGATCTACAAAGTTTATTTTGGTTGTTTGGTCATCTGTTCATCCGACATGGTCGTTCTAACATTGTTCACAAATCTTATATATCTCTATTGTAGTTTCATAAACAAAAGAGAGATATGTTAGATTTGTGAACAAATTTATTTTCACTTTGTCGTATGAAGAAAATACCAAAACAAACATTGTACATCTTGATGAGTTATACAACTTTGTAGTTGAAAACTATTTCATTTGAATTAATTTACTGTTTCAAAATGTGCTTTGAAATTTTCTTTGTGAGTGTAAAAAAAACACTCGGCAAAGAAGCTCTTTGCCGAGTGTCAAAAAAAAAACACTCGGCAAAGAAGCTCTTTGCCGAGTGTCAAAAAAAACACTCGGCAAATAAGTTTTTTTTGCCAAGTGTAAATTGCATGTTTGAGGCCCTAAACGAATTCAAATAAAAAAGTTGTAAACTACAAAGTTTCATAACTTTTCGAGATCTACACTTTTAGTTTAGGAAGTTTTCCCATCCGAGGTCATTTATAAAATTTGAATTTTAAAATTTTGAAATTCAAACGCAGTTTTGCATGACAAGATGATTTCAAATCAAAAAGTTGTCAATTACAAAGTTTCATAACTTTTCGAGATCTACAAAGTTTATTTTGGTTGTTTGATCATCTGTTCATCCGACATGGTCGTTCTAACATTGTTCACAAATCTTATATCTCTCTCTTGTAGTTTCATAAACTACAAGAGAGATATGTTAGATTTGTGAACAAATTTACTTTCACTTTGTCATATGAAGAAAAGACCAAAACAAACATTGTACATCTTGATGAGTTATACAACTTTGTAGTTGAAAACTTTTTCATTTGAATTAATTTACTGCTTCAAAATATGCTTTGAAATTTTCTTTGCCGAGTGTAAAAAAATAACACTCAACAAAGAGGCTCTTTACCGAGTGCCCGGAAAACAACACTCGGCAAACCACCTAACACTTGGCAAAGAGCCGGTCTCCGGTAGTGCGTAGCTAGCAACTAAGACCTGCTCCGTCCTACAAAACAAATGACTCGAATGCAGTACACGCCAAAAGTGTGAACATGACACGTACATCGTCCGTAGTTATCGCTGAGACCCATGTGGGTAATTAGGGTTGCGACAAGGCTGAGCATTAGTTGTGTGTGGATCAAATCATGGAAGATAATAATATATAATATAATAATATAATCTAGCCTCTTGTCTCGAGCCCGGCAGAATAAAGATCGGCCCGGCACTGGCACTGGCACGACCAGGCACGGCGGCACTACCGTGCCGTGCCTGATAGTGCCGCCGTGCCGAGACCTCGGCCCAGGCACGGCACTAAGAAGGATTAGCCGTGCCATGCCGTGCCATCAGCACGACGGCCCATCGGTACCGTGCTGGCACGAGTCGTCCAGGCATGTTGGAGTTGGAGCTGCTGGAGAAGAAGATGCGCCGCCTCCACGCACTGCTTCGCCGCCGCCGGCCGGCCGCGCACGCCTCCGCCGCCGGCCACGCACTGCTCTGCGGCTGCCGGCCGCGCGCTGCTCCACAGCTGCCGGCCGTGTGCGCCTCCGCCGCCGCCCGCCGCGCGCTGCTCCACCGCTGCTGTAGATGCCGGCGCGCCGCGGCCCTGAGCCCCTCATGGCATGGCCCCGCGACTGCGCTGCCCACCCCTGCGCACTCCGCGTCGTGACTGCGCCGCCCGCCTCTCCGCGTCGTGGTGAGGAAATGAGAGGACAGAGAGATAGAGAGAAAGAAAGGTAGGGTTTGGAGAGGAGAAGATGCTTATATATGTCTATCTAACGGTTGTAGTTCATCAGGTGGTCATCTATGGTGGAGAATAAGCGGGCCAAAATCGTGCCAGCCATTCCGTGCCCGATGCGGCACCGGGGCGAACTTATGCCCCAGCACGGCCCTACATCGTGCCCATGGCGGCACTGGCACTATGGGCTCCGTGCCCGTGCCGTGCTCGAGCCGTGCCCGTGCCGGCCCATAGTGTTAGTGCCAAATGGAAAGTCTTTACGGCAAAAATTGAAGAATGATCATGTTTTATTAATCAGATAGGCATCCTATCAACAATGTAGGAGCACGAGCATCTCCATCAAGTGTTCCCAATCAAAACACTCTCCCAATTTAGAATTTTTGGCAAGATTAAAAAAAATGTATCTCCAACAACTCTCAATCCCAACTCTAAATATTTGTGGGTGCAATGCAATGCAAAAGGGGTGTGTGGGCAGAAATCTAGCTCGAACTTTTTTTGTACTACAAAGCTGAAGTTGTTGCCATTATTAGAACGCGACAAAACGATGCTGCAGCAGAGCCTCGATCAACCCCTCCAGCTCCCCGTCGGAAAGAATCGGATTGGAAGCGCCGGGCCGGTGTCCAGTGCGGCAACGCCGGGCTCAAATGGCTGGAGACGACGCGCGAGTCGAGAAGCTCGGCGACCGCCGGAGCGGTGACGCACCGGGGCACCTTGTACTGGCCGACGGACGCGCCGCGTGACACGGCGTAGTCCGCGAGCTCCTCGAAGGTCCCCGGCCGGACCACCCGTATCTCCCAGTGGCCCGACGGAGCCGTCGGCCACCCGGCTCTGCCTGTACACCGACCCCAGGGCCTCCTCCATCTCCAGGCAGCACCGGTCCAGCACGTCCTTGGCGGCGGCGGTGCTGGTGAACCCTCCAGCTCCCAGTAGATGACGTAGTGCCCCGGCGCGGTCTCGACGCACGCGCGGCTGGTGTAGTCCGCCACGGCGGCGCCGCGCGGCCGGAGCAGCGCGGACGCCGCGCGATCCACCGCCAGCACGCGCTCCTGCACGGCGTCCACGTTAGTGGTCACCTCCTCGATGAACGCGAGCTTCTCGGCGTCCGTCGTCACTTGCGACAGCGACGACGACGCTGCTGGCTGCCGGGTTGTTGCCGCGCTGATGGTCGACGAGTCCGCCATCGGTAGCTGGCCTGGCTGGCTGGTTCAATAATCCTAGCTAGCTCGCTACTAGTGTGGAGTAGTAGCTGTTTGCTCTGGGGACTGGGGAGAGCGCGGACAACCAGCGTTTTGGGCCGGGATGGCTATGGAGCATGGAAGTGTACTTGTATATGCTTCTACGATCCGTACCAACCGTGTGACTAATCGCATTGCACGTGTTTATGTTTTCTCAGTAATTATTATATATACGTATAGTCCACGTCAAAACATTTGTGTGGAAACTTTTTTATGTCAGATGTGAACTCTATATAAAAGGTGCAACAAAGATAGTTTCCATATAAAATTATCACATTGAACGTGTTGATGGTTTCTAACTTATTAATTAGTGTGCGAATGCAACCAAACAAAATGGTGATGTGAACATTGGAACTAAGAGAGAGATAGAGAGAGTAGTAGAATGTAACACAAGTCCATTACAACGTGTTTGGTTTAGGTAGTCGTTGTGTCCAGAATCAGCAAAGTCCGACATGGATTCACTCCTTTAGGATCAGATATTGACTTTGACACTGTTTGAATTAGGGAACCAGCTCGCTGACAATGGATTATATCACAAATCCATCCCTACGTTTCATAATTCATTATATCAAAACATAATTCAATTCAATTGTTTGGAAAACTCAATTAATTAAATATATTACATGAAAAAGGTGCATGCATATATATGGCAGGATGCATACAGCCACATATATAGCTTAGGCTAATACAACTACTTTAAAAATTTATCTAGGGCAAGGGACCAACGCTTACTACGGTCTCCACTGTTGTTTCTACATAGTCCGAACAATCAACATCAACTGATTATAATAGATAACGAGAGCTTAGACTAGCAAATAAGCACCATGAGTCCATTAAGATCCGAACAATTTGAAGCTAGGCATCAAAAGCAAGAGCATGGCGTTAGAAAAATTAAAACTTGTTTAATAATTTTCCAAACTAAAACAAAGATTATATGAATTTTCTAATATCAAACAAGATTTTATGATTTTTATTGCATTACTTTTCCATGTAAAATTATTTGGACAGATTTTTTTTTAAAAAAAATATTTTTGTGATTGTCTGGATACTTTTAAGAAAATTATTTGTAGTCTGATTTATCTAAACCACTATTTTTATTTGAGATCATTTAAGAGCTCAAAAATTCAATACAAGATGTCGTGATTCAAAAAACTGAAGTTATGTGGGGCCCACATGCCATGTTATTTGAAATTACAACCGCAATCAATTTAACTATTTTAGGTGTTTATAATTCATCTACTTTTGAAAATTAAGGGGTAGGTTTTTTGATATTTGAGTTTGAGGTTGTTGTTTTTTTTTTAATAATAAGTTCAGGGACAAATCAGAATTTACTAAAAAAAATAATGTGTGATTGTTGGAGACGCATTGGTTTGTGATTGTTAGAGGTACATCGTAAAGCCTGACAAATTGGAAGCTAGTAGCACCCTTGCTTGTTAATTCGGTTTAAACGAGAGCAAGACCAACGAGCAACGAGAAGCAGACGAAGAGAGTCGAGGTATCTATTTGAGGTCAGTGAAGCATGCTGATTGGCTGATCAACACGCCGAGGATGGCGTAGCTGATGAGTGAATTTGGTGCCTCTGCGAGTGTGGACTTGTGCAAAGTATAAGTACTGTGTCCCTTAGTGCTGTTCTTTTTTTGAGCTGTAACTCTGAACCTGGATGCTGTAATAAACTACTGTGATCCTTGGTTAATGCAAATGGAATGGACACGGTGAGATCCCTCCAATTCTCAAGTCTTATCCGGTCTCTTGCAGAGAGGAGCTGGGGTTAATTGCTTTGCTTCTCCACTGAAGCTGAGAGAACAGAAGCCCAAACATCTGAAAGCCCATGGGAAGACAAGGAAGAAGAGCCGACGCCGGAGTTCGCAGCCCAGTAGCAGGCATCACCTGCCAGCTGCCGCCGGCCGCCCGCCGCCTCCGCTCACCAGTCAACAGTCACCGCCGCCGCCCGCTCAATCCCACGCGCCCACGCCTGTGCGACTCCACACTTGCCGGCTCATCCACTGCAAGGGCCACCCGCCGCAGCCTGCTGCTGCTGGCGACCGGAGATGGACGGGGAGGAAGAGAACATCGGGCCGTTCCGCCGGACCAGCGCCCGCACGCGCCGGATGGCCTCGCGCATGGCGTCCGCGCTCGCCAGCTCTGACAAGCGCGCCCAGGTAACAAGGAGATTCAAGTCAACTGGCTGCTCCTGCCTCCCCTTCTTCCTCCTATTCCAAGCTGCCATTTATGCTTTGCTGCCCGGTTATGGATACCTCATTATCTGTGATGCCACGCAGGCTGCTTTAGCTCGCCTTGAAGCCCTTGAGAGCGACAATGCCGGTGTTGAGGTGGTGGATCTTAATGATGATGAGTATGGATCCACGGATGAGGAAGACCCTGGTCAGTTCCTCTCATTTATCTTCGTAGTAATAGTAACAGTAATGCCATGATGTGAAAAAGGATAAGGTAGATACAGTATCAGTATGTACACGCTCGATGACAAAATGTTACTGTTTGCAAACGGCAAGTACTGAAACTCAGATTTCTTGTGTAGGGCATATTTTGATATCACTTCTAGTATCAATTTTGCAGAGAGAAAAAACAGCCTTCTGTGTTTCTTATCCTTGCAAAGGATTCAATGATTAAGAATTAAAACTATCCTTCAAAGGAAATGTTTGAAACATACTTTTGCTAAAACACACCTGCCATGAATAACACCACAAAATCTCTAAGTGACTGTTATTAGCATCTGGAAATTGCCCCTAAAGCCAGTCGTTTGGACACCTTTGAGGTCCACATGCTACAGCCTACAGCTTGTTAACCTTGTGTCGTTAGCATCTGGAATGCCCCTAACCCTAAAGTCAGTAATTTATTTATACATATGTTTGAACTCCACATTCTACAAGGCTACAACTTGTCAACTGTACAGATTCCTGTGTTCACAGTTTCTGTGGACGTGCATTCAACTTATCCACTGTAAAGTTCGATGATGTAAGCCATTTTTTGTTTTTGAATTTCATTTCTACAGTCCTCATGCAAAAGAAGCAGTCCAAGATTATGAAACGCAAGACAAGGCAAGGGAAAGCTTTGGAGAAGCGGGCAGCAAGATCATTCATGGATGTCTTACAAGAAGTAAGTAACCTTGTATACTACAAGTTTCTTTCTCATCATGTTTATTTTCTAAGGAGGGTACTTAGAAGATTCTCACTCTGGAACTGTGACAGGCAAATCTGGAATCCCTGCCTTCTCATGTTCCGACATATTTGAGGGCAGCTGTGGGTCCACCAAGCACATCATCTCGACGGCACTACTGTTCAGTCTGTGGTAGTTCTGCAAACTATACATGTGTGAGGTGTGGAACACGGTTCTGTTCTTGCCGCTGTCAAGTCATACACAATGATACGCGCTGCCTGAAATTTGTGGCTTGACCAACTGGATATACATGCTACTCTACATGTATGTCCACTCCCTAATGATTGTTCATCTGTGGTTTGATCAGTAGGATATGCTTGCTGTTAGCGATAGGCGCCCTAATGGGCTGTTATGGGCCGGTGCGGTTAAGCACCTTAGGGTTCAAGATAGATTGATAAGGTAAGGATCACCGTTGATTGGGTGTTTCTATAAACCCTTAGGGATCCTTACCTATATAATGTACCACTGTACCCCTTTAATTAATCAATCAATCCCGAGGCTAATTGCTCTCATGGTATCACGCTTAGGTTTAGACTTCCGCTGCACCTTCCTCAGCCGCCGGTATTACTTGGCGCCGCCCGCTTCTCTCCGTGCGCCTCGGCCCCTCGCCGTTGCTGCGCCTCGCCTGCCCGGCCAGCGCTCCACCCCCTGGCACGGCCCCCGGCCACAGCCACCTCATGGCCACAAGGCCTCTGCTGCCATGCACACGCCATGGGCTCTTCTCCGCCTACTCCCAGAGACGACGACGACGGCTCCGCCACCTCCCTCCAAGCCGACGAGGTTGCCCGGCGGCTCGCCCACGAGCAGGCGAATGAGGCCGCCGCCACCGCTTCGGCGCTGGAGCGAACGCAAAACCACACGCACGCCGCCGCCGCTCGCGCCCTCGGCCGAAAGCAGCGAGCCATGGCTGCCGCCAAGGAGCGGGACGAGGCGGCCCAGCGCGCCAGCGATGCCCTCGCGCGCGTCGCCATGGAGCGGGCAGCCGCCGACGCTGCCATCGTGCCCGAGTCTTCGGGAGGAGCCACTGCGCCGCCTCGAGGAACTCCTGCGCCGACCGACCTCCGCGCGGCCATGCTTCACCACGAGGCCGTGGCCCTGCTCCAACTCCACTCACAGGCCGTCGCCGTCAGCAACATCCGGAACCACATCACCACCATCCTCGACGTCGACTCCGGTAACTTCAACCGTTGGTGCGATCGGTTTTACGCTTTCGTCCTCGGCAAGTTTTTCACTCCGTGGCCATGTCGCGAAGACCCTCCATCCCGATTTCTCCCGATTGGGCCCGGATGGATCGCGTCGTCAAGTCTGGATCGTCATGCCACGCTCACGGATGATCTGGCGAGATCATCCGGGCCTAAAACTCCACACCCGCAGACGCTCGCTTTCATTGTCGAGTCGCGCTTTCTCGGCAATCGAGAGGCTCGCTCCATTCACCGAGACGCGTGGTTTCGCAACCGTCCCAAGGCGACCTCTCATCACCGAAAATACCGCCGCAAAAGTGAAGAAGATGGCCGATGATCTCACGGCCCTCGGCGAGGTCATCACCGACCGCACTCCCTCATCCTCAACGCCATCCGCGACCTCAACGCGCTTCGCCCACGTTAGCACGCTTCTTCGCCGAGCCAAGCCCTTCCCCACGTTCACGGAAGCCCGTGAGGACCTCATCCTTGAGGAACTCACCATGGCAAATCGCAAGGAGGCTCCAAGCAATGCACTCACCGCCTCCACTACTCCCACCGCGGCACCTCCACCTTCTGCGCAGCTCGAGGCGC